ATACGTCAGGGAGATTGTGCATTAAGCCTAATGTGCAATTACTGTTTTCAAATATCCTTTTTAAACATTTGACTTTTTCAATTTAGTCTCAGCTGACTAAATGAAAGGGTATTAAAATTAGACCTTTATGTAAATACTTTAGAAAGTCACTACTGTGTGTAAAAAAAAATAATCCCCTGTATTTACTAATATTATCAACACTGCATGGATTTCTAATGTAAACATCATCATTAACTGACCCGTATGCTCCTCAAACTATATTCTTTGTTTTTTTTCCCCCTAGATATGTTAGGATTATTTGTATTATTCATGTATATGATTGAATGTGCCGTATGTTAGGCAGGCTCTTTCACTGAAAAATTTTAAAACACAGCTCAAAACGTACTTTTATTCGCTGGCTTTTAACACTTGCAGTCGTGACCTTGTTTATTAAGCTTAAACAAACTTTTAATTATTGCCTTATTTTATATATTTATACTGTATTTTATTATCCCTTACTATTTTTAACCCATATTTCACTTTGCACTTTTTTCCCAGCTGTAGCCGTTTTAAAGAGATCTACAAAAGTTGATGATGATTCTTAAATCCTAATATTACCTGCCTGGTAAATGTTAAGGGTGGTGTAAGTTTAGCTAATTAGGACAGTTCTTCTGTCAGGATTAAAATGAATCTTTATGTATGTAATAAAGATTTGGGATTGATATGGGAGCACACAGACAGAGTAGAATACTCTTATTTTGAGGGGAGTAGCGGCCTAATGGTTAGGGCATAGAACTGTGAGTCCCACAGACTGCCACTCTGGGTTCTCTGAGCAAGACCCTTAAACCCAAACCGCTCTCCGGGCGCCCCACGATGGCAGCCCATTGCTCTCCAAGGGGATGGGTTAAATGCAGAGGTACATTTCTCCAATGTGAGTTCAATAATTTTATTATTTGTATTGACAGCTCTGTCACAGTGCATTCAGGTTGTCCTTGCTCTAAGAACACTGTATAATATCTCACTGAAGCCAGTGATGCTCCTGACATACAAACATGTGTGTGGTGTAATTATGTTAGATAAGATGATGTGGCAGGGGGAGACCCTGGAGATGTATAAAATGCTTCTTTAACTGGTATTCTGGGCAGACTTTCTGAAGATGCAAGCCTGGTGTATAATTACAATTTCTGTCAAAATCTGCTCTCATGTCTCATAGTTATTTAATACATAAACATCATAATCATTATGATCTCCTCTCAGGAAAGAATCAGAGATAGAAAACCTTAAGATGTAAACATAGATGTTTCCTAAACAGATTTATTTGAAGATCGTTAACCTTTCTTACGGAGGATTTGACTCCTTTGATCTCAAACTGTGACCAAAGTGTTTTCAGTGCATGTTGATTGATCACCAATCGGATAAATAAGACTACAGAGAGGATTTCCTCTCCACTCACTCTGACTGTGGTGTCCACCCCAGCTGTGGCCAGTCGATGGAAACGTCCCTCTGTGCTGTGCTGGAAATCCAGACTGTACACAGGCTCCTTGTTGTGCCAGGCGATCTCACACGTCACCACCTTCATTTTTCCTCTTAAGAGATGAAAAACATTTAATATAATGAAAACCAACATCTATTTGTGGTTATTTAAATCACGTTAAATCGATTAAAATAATGAAACTGTCCCAATAATTTAGCAAAGTGGGTCTCTAGATAGTAATTTAGAAGAGTAGAGATGCTTAAAACGGTTTATGTCACTCCAAACAAATGCTACCGTTAGCTTTTAATGTTAGCAGCAAACAGAGCGGGTTAATCCGGCTCGTTTCTGTTCACACACACAAAAAACTAACAATAATAATGCGTTCATCTAATACTACCGAGATATTTCAGGTATAGAGTGACAAAACTACGGGAGATGTTATCAATATCAGCCACAATACTCAAATTATCCTGAACAAAGTTTGAATGTTTTACCTGTTTCGTTCAGCAGCAGAATAAGTTTTGCCTATTTCCCGCGTACGTTTCGCTCATTACTTCCGGGGAAGGAGAGCGCTTTGATTGGACGAGAGGGCAGAAGGGGCGGAGTTGTTGGGTATGTTCCTCAACGTTTAACCGTTGGTTGACTTGGATGGGAGTGGAGAGGAGCAAAAGTGGAGTTTATCCCTTGAAATCGAGAGCAGTTTGTTATTTTCCCATCGATGGGGAGCCAAGAACCTCCTTCTAGGATATCTGAGTAGACTATGTTATCAAATGCTAATATCATATGAAAGCAATGATGAAAACATCAAATGTAACTTTCAGACAATTACTAGACTTGCCTTAGACCTCTAGCGGAGGGGAATTGGTGCGCAGCCCTTTTTTTTAATTAAAAGCACAGAGAAAACATGTTTTAAAAAAAGTTAGACATAAGCTTTTCACTTTAGTAAAAGTGTAAAAGTACCATGCTTAAAACTTCTTAGAGTATAAAAGTAATTAATGAAAAACTGTTGAGGATAGATAATTTAAACCTGGTCACTCTACCCTATTAAAGGGACATTTTCTACAATTCTGGATGATAACTTCATTATACTCAATTTTATTAGTTTTATAACTAATGGTAAGTGTCAAATCTAACTTTTTTCAAATATCTTGTTGAAAAACAATGCATTTTGTGTATATGAACAACAAGTTGGTGCAGTAATAAAGTCCAACCACAAAGAAAGCACAGAGAGTTTTTTATATTTTTTTTTATATCAACAGGCTGTAACGAAAATGTGATTAAATGAAACAAAACTAACAATTCTGTTTTTAAAATGCAAGGAGTAGAAATTAGAGATAATTGCATAAAAAACTGGAAGGAGTAGAAGTAAAAAGTTGTATAAAATGATGAATCTAGTAAAGGATAGATAGGCAAAATTTCTACTTAAGAAAGGTAACAAAGTATTTAAATAACCACACATGATTGGTGGATTCATGTTTATACCTGTGTTATACAGCCTGTAGTATGTTGGCAATAAGTCTGTTACGTTTAGAAATACTAATGTGTGTTTGTATTATGGTTGGAGCCAAATTGATCCTTTTATTTCCCACTGAACACAAACCTGATTTTGAATCTTACAAACAGTGTTCTTATTGGTCAGACCCGCATCCTCACCTTCATTGTCACAAATTTTAAACTATTAAAACTCCTAACATAATGCTACATATTAAGCCACATAATAAGATTAATATGTTATGCTAAAGCAAAATCAAACGAAACAATCAAATTTGGGAAGGCTAACTATTCAGAGCAGAAGAAAAAAAATGTGCTTTAAGAAATAAATGCCACAAAGTTTGTCACAAAGAAGTAAAATTAACAAGAGAATTTCAAAATTACTATTTGGATTTAAAAATCAGACTGTCTAGGTAATGGTAATCATTAATCTAATGCATTTTGTTTGTATTAGGTATAAATGTTGCTTCACACACCTACATTAGTGTTTATAGGATGCAGCTCAGTTATAAATGCAAATTCTGATTTGATTAAAACAGTTTAGATTAATCTCAGGGATTTTTTAAGTTTTCTTGGTTTGGTGGTTAAATCCAGATTGTTGGTTTGCTAAAATCCCATGCTATTTAAACATATATTTATTTATTTATTTATTTATGGATTTTCCTTGTTGTAAAACACATAGACAGTATCTTACTGAAAGGGATTTAAACATGAGGTTGCTCCAGCCATACTGCAATAGAAGATAAAGGGCGTAAAATATCGAGGAACAGTAACCTCCATGTGGCACATTATTCTCTCCCCTGATTGCACTGGAAATCAAATATAAACCAGCAGCAAATTTCAATGGAACAATGATATCTACATTAAAGCTGATGTCAGAGCTCACCATCGACGGCCATGTTTGTTCGTATCCTGTCTGAATTAGGATTCCTAATTTTAGACTGTTTAATTAGCTGCAACCCTTCTGATCATTTAAATTTCCCTACATGCTTATCTCTTTAGAGAGCTGCTTTTTTTTATAGTAAACTTATATTATGTATGTTTGGCAGTGTGCATAACAGATAAGTCCTGTTTAACAATTAAATGAGCATCTCCAGGAGGCTAGTAAGCAGAATAAAGTATACATTTTTTGAATTGTTCAGCAATATGGCGACACTAACTTTGGGCTTGATTGAAACTAACAATGATGAAGTGGCTCACTGAGTCCTGGACCACAGAGACTTAACAATGCATTTCCAGTAGCTCAGATTCCAGATCTTGATTTACCAGTAATTCAAGGACCTGAGTAAGACACTCTTGATTTAACTGGGTCATAATCCTTGATTGGAGAATATTTTTTATGCTTGTGCATGTCTCAACCCCACGTTGTTCTTCCACTTATGTTGCCATTAATATGCAAGCCTGAAGCACTCCATGAATCACCTCAGCTCCTTTAGCCAGTTACTTCTGTAATTCAACCTTTTGGGTTTCAAGTCAGTTTTCCTTATATATAGACTAAATATGACATTTTTGTATTAGTTCTCAGACATTCTTGTCTTTTTTATAATAAAATAACAAAAAACTGATTGGGGGCGATTAATAACTGTAAGATCAAACCATTGAAATGACCAGGAACTATCATGAAATAAAAACATCCCTTTAAACGATAGTCTATATGCAGGTTTCACATTTTAAAAAGTAGAATAACATAAATAAATTGCGTTAAGAGAAACTTTTTTAGGTAAATGCTTGAACTAAATATTCAGGCTTCTTTCAGGAACGCTCTTGCAACCACAAAAGTACATGACAATATAGATCTAGATACGAGCTTTACTTTTGGACTCTTTACTTCTAAAATAAAGCTTTAAAATTTAATGCACCTCTAAATTGAAATATTTCAGATTATTTCCATTTTTACTGACTTAAAGCATGTTACACTCGAGTCTTATTGACTCAATCCAACATTCAAAATATACACATTTATGCAGTGATCAACAAGCAAGCCGAGGTTCTGCCCAGAGTAGATCAAGGAGAGACAAAATGTAAACACCAGATGAAAAGGAGTCACAGCATGGAATCATGATATCAAAATCAATTTATTTATAGTAATGAACAATCAGAATTATCCACCAGTGCTCCAAGTTGCAGGTTGAGCAAAACCAGCCTTAAAAGCTGCTCCATTCATCTTTATTTTATAATATTAAGAAATCTACAGCAGGGTTTATTGCTGAAACAACCCAAAGTTCTCCATAACAGTAAACAGAGTACAAATGATTAACACACAATGTAGAAGTATAAAAATAGATTTAACTCATTATATACAAGCTCTAAACCATAAAAACTATTAATGGGACTCTAAGGTAGGTAGGGAAAACAAAACAGGAAAAACAAGATGCACATCAGTTGAACTGAAACTTCAACTGTTGGTTCAAAACGTGATAAAACAAAATAACCTGAAATGTTTGGCCAGAGCTTTAGTCGAGTTCAGTTTCACATTTAGCAGATCTAAGCATTAGAATGTAGAGGGAGCGAGAAAAGTCAGAGACTCTGAAGCTGGGGTAACAAACCAGTTTGATCAAATCAGTTTTTGAAGAGAAAAACCTTCAATCAAAGTTTAAATTAAGACCTGAACAGATTGATTACATATGACTTTAGTCTCCAATTTAATTTTTTTCCCAATGTTTCACAAAGGTAGATCCTGAACCTTTTAACCCTCTTTACACAGTCAGTGTGACATGGAAAACAATCGGATCAGAGATTAAAAAGTTGTAAGTAATCGGTTTGTTCTGGCCTTTAGGATTAATGCTGCGCCAGTGAGAAAGGATGGCTTTATTCAGCTGTGCGACGCTGAAAAAAAAAAAAAAAGAGTGTAAAATATAAATATTTTTGGAACTATTCATTGAAGCAAACATCAGATGAAGCTCAGATTCTCTTAAAAAATGAAAAAACAAAACAGATTCTTGCATCCTTAAGTTAAAATCACTAAATGTAACCGTCTTCAAATAAATACAAGTGAAATCCCAGAGATTTGTTTGACTCCTTGTACAAATTCTTCACAAGTCCAAACGTTTAAGATCCAAACTGGAATGAAAACAGATCGGCTTCAAGAAAAACTGAGCTGGATTGTTCCCAATCAGGTGGAAGTCCTTTGCTCAGTACGGATGATTTTCCAGGTCATCTTCAGTCATTTGTAGTCTGTCCCATGAGATACTGCTCCAGGATCTCATCGATGACGGTGCATTCGTAATTCACCTGCTGCAGATCCAAAGCTGGTACCCGGGAGATGAGGAGGCGGCCCACGTTCTGACGGAGTTCGATCAAGCTGCACAGTAGGTTGGACAGAAGTAGAGGGGAGATTATGAACTATAGAGAATAAACATGGAAGAATGTGGATGATTTATCAGCAGCAGCACCTTCCAAAGGCGTCTGAGGTGGAGGATCCTGCTGGAGCGTGTACGTTTTCTCTTTGCTGCTGTAAGCTACGCTGGAGCTCCTCACACTGAGCCGCCAAATTCGACTTCTCCTCCTCCAGATTAACCAGCTGATGGTAAACAAACATATAAGAGAAAACGGAGAATGAATGAGTCTATGTCAGCAGAAAAACAAACAAACCACACCTTTTTTTTAATTAATACTGAATTAAAGAAACTTTTACTATTTGGTGCAAATCACTGCTGAGCTGGATAAGACACAAAGGAAGGGCTGCACCTCACTGTCCCATTAAAATGTTTCACGTTTTCAATAAATGCAATATATATAACCCTCTAAATTGTACTCTGATTTATTGATCTACACCCGTAGTCACATCTTTAAATGAAATCACCCTGCCAACTCCCATGGTTGGTTTCAATGAAGCCCCTTCTGAAGGCTTATCATGAGTTAAGATGAGATGCAGATCAGAAAGAGGATATTACTCTAAAACAGCTTTTGGAGCTTGGAGATAAACTGACCTGCAAGCGCAGTTCATCCCGCTCCTTGTTGCTCTGATCTAGTTCCCGGACCAGACAGCTGACTTGATGCGAAATCTCCTCAATGTCCTTTTCCTCATCTTGACCAGCATTAATAGTAGTTTTGCTCTCTCTAGTTGCCAATAAAGCCTCCTTGTCCTTAATCAGATCATTTATTTTCTGCTTGGCCTTCTCAAAAAGACACTTGTAGTCCCTCTCGTCCTCTGTCTGGCAGGCTTGGTGTGAGCACTCCTTCTTCACGCTGGCCTGAGACAGCTGTTTCAGTCTGCTCTGCAGCTCCTGCAGCTGGGAGCGGAGATTTTTAACCTGCTCTTTTAAGCTGTCCCTCTCCTGAGCGGTGCCATGCATCAGCTCCAGGAGCTTATCTTGCTGTTTCTGCACTTCATCGATATTAGAGAGCTGGTGATGGGAAGAGGAAGAAGGACCAGCAGCTTCATCACTTTCCATATGTGCTACCCCGTTGCTCATGGCCTGCTTTCCTTGGTTTCCACCATCTCCACCATTCTCTTGCTTAATTGTTTTTTCCTTGAGCAGATTCGGATCAGAACCTTTCCCACCGGCTGCACCGTCTTTCCCTTCAGGCTTATTCAGATTTTCCTTCTCTTCCTTCACTTCAGGAGCTTTGGTCTGGGTGGTGGCGCTGGCCACCCCTGAAGGTGGACAGCTGGCAGCTGCAGGATCCGTTTCCTCAGAGGGCTCCTCCACGGCAGCGTCATCGGTGCACTCCAGCAGCACGGTGATTTCACTTTCCCCATCCTCTTTCTCTTGCTTGACTTTAGGTAGATTACGGGCAGCCTTTTGGGGCTTTGGAGTACTTTCTTTTTCCAAGATGACAAGGTCATCATCGCTGTCATCAGTTTCGCTGCTGTCGGTGTGCACAGATACAGGGCTGGTGTTTCCTGCTGGGGGCGTGTCAGAGCTGCTTGGCTGGAAGCCGTTCATTCTGGGTCGTTTTGGCGGGCCTTGTTGGATAGCAACTGTGCCTCTTTTCCCCCTATGGAGCAGAATCAGATTTATAGATATCATCTCTTTTTACTGAAATCAAACACGGCTCATCAGATTTCTACTTTTTTACATCTAGAAGCTTTAAGTTTCATCCATTCTGTTTTATAAACTTAGACTGGATGATTAGAGTCTATATAAAAAACATTTTTATCTCCATTTCAAGTCCTTGCTAAAGGAAAAGCATTCCAACAGCCTGATACTGCCGCCACCTTGTCTCACAACAGCAGGCCTGCACAATTTTAGGAAAACTTGCAATATGTAATAACAGAGCTTAATATTGGGATAAAGACATGTTTTGCAGGCTAGGATTCTGTGCTTAGCCAAACAAGGTTAAACAGCCTCCATTATATTTTTAAACCGCTCTGATGTTTTTTCACTTACAAGACTGACTCACTGACAACTATTGGACTGGTTGACTACACTAAAAGCTGCTTTGTGAGAATAAATCTTTACATCGAACAGTTTTATACACAGGCGTAACTTTCTGAAGCACTGGTGGGGACAGTCCCCGCCAATAATCTCCACTTTTTTCCCCTTTCCGCTTATTTCCTTTATCCAAAGGTAACGGAGTTGGGCACAGCTATCTCTGTTCAGAGCGTTTTGAGACGTGTTTTTATTTTTCTTATCTCGCGCTGCTCCCATGTCCCGCCTCTCAGTGTGACATCATCGGATCTGTCGTTTTGAGATTTCAGGTCACATTTCACTGCGTAGAGAGTAGCTACATGGTTGGAGGAGAGACACACAGCAGCGCTCAGTGACTATTAACCGGCAATGTTGTGATGTTTAAGTAAAAGTTAGGAGACAGGTTGGTTAAAAAAATCTAAATCATACCACTGAAAAATCTGTTTGACATACTGAGCGTTTTAAGGTAAAAATGGAAACAAATTGTAAGTTTATACAAGTTAGTATTATAATGCGAGAAGCTTGAGAAAACATAGTTTGTTCTTTACTAGTTAAAAAAGCTTGGCTTCTCAGAGGAGCATGACTCACAGTTACAGGTTGAAATTAACACGTTTTCTTATTGATCAGACAGAATCAGACTGCAGAGCTTCTACATATCTTGAAATTATGTTTCTGGCATCATTATATTAGTAAAGAGGTTCATAAATCTTTTTTAAACAGAGCACAGAGAGACGTAGGGAGAACTGCAGATTTAAAGGTCAAATTTAGGTGAAAGTTTAAGAGATTCACTGGGATATGCACAACATGCAATAAAATATATCTCCAAGTTTACCAGAAAGTTTACACACACAAAAAAAAATGCTATGCTATAGTTAAAATGCAGCACATCCATATTTTTCTGGATGGATGGAATTGAAAATGTACTTCCAGGGATGCAGAATAAATCGATTTTGGCATCGAAATCGGCTGTTATTCTTAATTTTTTTATACATTAATGTTTTTGGGCCCTATATATATAATGCACTAAAAGACATCTCTCTAAATATCTATAAATACAAATAGTGTATTATAGTTCTCTTGTGTTCTCAACAATAAGAAAGTACAATAAAGACATGTTTAAGCTCATTTTTGGAAAATACAAAAACCTAATAAAAGCGTTTGGGATTAACTGTCGGTCTATCAGCCCCGACCTGAGGGTCTCCACCAATTTTCATCCCAAAGTTACACCTTTGGTTTTATATGTGACACCCAGCGGGTCTAAGCAGGTAGACGGCAACATCTCACAGTCACTGTGCTCAGCACTGACAGATGGGCTTTGGGTCCTTTTTGGAGAAGAAATGCTGCTAGACGCTCCACTAGCTCATCATCCTGCTAGCATCCTTTCCCTGTCTTTGACCCACTGACAGAGTGTGTGGGAGATCTCATTAAAAATGTAGAAAACTGCTAAGACTATGGGTGTTAAAACCTCAGAAGACAGTGCACACTTTAGTCAGAGTATAAGGCAGCCTTAACGTTTGCTAATTTGGTTTTGACTAGCTAGCTGTTTTGGATTCTCCATACAGGTTTTAGTGGTTCAACCTAAGGTGTCTTGGAGATTAGTGGCGTCTCTTGGCGATTGCTACTGGTGCTCAGTGCGTTTTGCAGAATACCTGTGAGACCCAAAGATCTCCAAATGAAAGGATCAGCTCCTGTTTCTCACCATGAATACTTACATTTCCCATTTGTCTTCCTCTCTATCACTGCAACTTTCTCTAAACTCTAAGCTTCACTGTTTGGGCAGCTAATCTAAAGAGATCTACTGATTGATCTAATACAAATGGGGCTTCATGTGATTGGTTACTTCAAGCTTCTGTGTGATTCACAGAACAGTAATATTAAGCATAAATGTAAACCATCTTATTTCTCTCCAGTTTTTTATTTTTATTTTCATTACACAGTCACAAGTACAGAGCAACAAAATGAACTCTCTGCAATGAACCTAACCCTTTGGGGAGCAGTGGGCTGCCATTTATTGCTGTTTATGTAGTTTTCTATGGTATGATCAACTCACAGGCTGTCATCATGATAAATATTCAAGATATCGGGCAGCCCTACAATGAAGCTTCACAACAGTGGTCCATCTTACCTCTGGGACGCCGCTGAGAGTGAGCACACACTGGTGATGACTGGAAAACTGCTGTTACTGGAGGAGTTGCTGGCTACAGAGGATGGAAAGCAGGTTATTATCAAATGTCTTATTCGTACAAAATAAATAGGAGAAAAAAAACAAACACATTTCTATACCAGCTTGTGAGGGTCCCAGTAGAGTGGATTCTTTCTTGACTGTAGCTCCTTGTAGCGAGTTACCCACCGGGGAAGAAGGAGACTGCACAGAAACAATGTTATTTTTATGGTAACTGATGTCATTAAGTTTTGAGTGTAGAAAGCATGTTCCTGGTAAAGCAACAGCTGGTCACGCAGCTTAAAGGTACCATCAGAGAAGAAGAGCTGAGTGCAGCCTTAAAAAAAAAAAAAAAGAGGAGCGTGCAGGCCTGTCAACACTGAGTTAAAGGTTTAGTTCAAATGTTTCTAGTGTTGTCAGCCTTTGTTATGTTCAGGTAAAAAAAAAAGGAATGACGTTGGGATCTGTTCTGCTTCTATTAAAGAGGAGATGTGCAAAATGAATGAACCTTTTATTGGAAAAAAGAAAAACAAACATGTAGGTCAAGACCAGAGTGGGACTTAAGGGCTGAAGTGAGAAAATAGTGTGCAATGGTTGAGTGAGAAATTGTTATGGTTGTTACATATTGAGTGCCTCTGTGATTTGATATTCCTGTTTTCTAAAAATGTGATTATATTGAAAATGAAATGAATTGCTGAGGCCTAATTCAAATGCATAGAGACATTAAACAAAAAATCTACGTATTAACAGGCTGTACCTTTTGTTGAAGCTGACGGGTCAGCTTATTGGTGTGCCTTTTAAAAGCTGCAGTCTCCTTAGTTATGGTGTTCATATCAAAAAGTTGCTCTTCTTGATTCCTCATATCCATTTGACCCTGGGCAAGAACAATAATCAACAATTAAGAAACAGAGAAGATATTCCTCTTAGTTAGAGATGGTAAGCTTCTTACCTGCTGAAATCTCTGTTCTTGTTTCTTCCGCTCTTCCCTCTCTCTGTCATGAACAAAGCATTGAAGAACATATTCTTACATGTTGGTTGTGTTAAAGGGATCATTTCATGAAGGGCAATGGCTGGTACACTCACTTGACACACCTCTAACAACATTAAGGTGGCTATAAGATTTGAAAATGCAGCATAAGCCTCTGTAAATACATTCAAAATGGGATAAGGAGGAAAGTACCCTACATACATCGGTCTAAAAATAATCTTACAAAGCCATCACAGAGGCTTTTGGACTGAAAAAGACCCAGATTAGAGCAATTATTCATTTGATTAACCTTCCCAGGACGGCAGAGCGTACCTGTCATAAGTATTCTGGAAGGGCATCAACGAGAAATCAGGAATATTACAAAAAACATGAATAGAATCTAGAGCGGTCTATTCATCACTTACTTAGCGTTCAGTAACCCTGATGCAACGACTCTGAACTTCTGAGGAAAGAAAGCTTTCAGGAGGCCTAAAGTAGTGCTGTAGTCAAGACCAAACCAACGGAGACCAGACCGAGACATTTAGAGGCCGAGACCATATAAGGTCTTGGTCTAGGCCTCTTAGGCTACGTTCACACTGCAGCCTGAAGTGACCCAAATCCGATTTTTCTGGCCCATATGTGACCTGGATCTGATCTTTTCATGGCTATCTGAACAACACAGATCAGATTTTTTTCCAATATAAGCTTGGCTATGTGGTCCTGAATCCAATACGAATCTGATCTTTTCAAATGCGACCTGTGTCTGAACGGCCAGGTCGCATCCATCAGACCTGAACGCTATTAATAGAATAGAACAGATAGATTAGAATTCAACTTTATTGATATTCCACTGTCACAAGTACAGAGCAACGAAATTATCTCTCAGCCTGTGGGAGTCCCACAGACTATTGCAGGAGTGGGGGATCGGACTCACAACCTCAGGATTCAAAGCCCTAACCACTTACTCTTTGTGTCTGGATTAAATAAAAATACCAAGTGATGTAAAAGATGTCTTATCAATTATATGAAATGCTTGATTACTGCAAATAAGTTTCCAAACTGCATTTAGTGTTATTTAT